CACATATATATGTATAAGCATGTAGATATTTATTCACATTTGTTAAAGTGATTAATACCCAAAAAATTTTTAACTGAATTGAAATAAATGTAAATCCATGTGACTAGCTTTTAATTATTTGTGTGATTATCAATCAAAATCTTATATTTTAATTATAAATTCTCCAAGTTCATTTCCAATTTATGAAGTCTTCAGTACATCAACATTGTATTGTTTATTTCTTTCTTTATACTACTGGACACCCAATAAAAGGCCCAAGAGTCCCTCAAAATAGACAGTACTAAATAGGGTTGTTTTATAGATGTAAGAACTGTAGATTATGAGGATATGTAGGATAAATGACTGATGACCTGAACTTGAAGAGGTTAAGACTGTAGTGGTTGGGGAAGCATTCCCTTGGGAGTTTGTTCCCCAAAGCAATGGGAACAAACTCTTTGAATGGAACTTCCTTCTTACTAATGGAATACAAAGAGAATGTGAATGATTCATCTAGTGTGCATGGTATAGCAGGTCTTAGTTGTAAAGGTCAGAACTAGCAAATGTAGTTCATCAGAATATTTTCCCTGGAAATAGTGATAGAGTAGAGAGAGAGAGGGAGGCTTAGCTGTAAAGATCTGAACTGTTAAAACTAAGGAACGTAGTTCATCAGAATGTTTTCCATGAAAGTAGTGATAGGTTTGCAACATTGTGTCTGTGGGAAAAGTATAATAGGGTACAAGATAATTCATCACCCATATGGCTGTGTAAGCACTTTTGCATTGTCTAATCTCACTCTTGTGAGATCAAAGCAAAAATGGAGTATCACTAAAATGTCTAGGCTGAAGCTGCCCAATCTGATCTTCATTAAATGGCTACATCTTTACTGAACAGAATTCATATATGTTAATTTTCCTGAAAACAACTTGCATATATTCATGTAATTGAGCTTAGGTGTACTTACGTGATTAAGCTTTTCTAGTATTTCAAGCAGAACTTCATGTTGTAGCTTATCAAATGCTTTTGTATCATTTATATATATATATATATATATATATATATATATATATATATATATATATATATATATGTGTGTGTGTGTGTGTGTATATATATATATATATACACACACACTATTCTACATTTGTATTGCTCCCTCTGATGTCATTCTGAACATAAAGATTACATTTCTTGTTCCAGTGTCTTAAACAAAACCTCAATTTTCTTGCCCTATTTCCAATCTAATTCTTCTACAATCTCTTTTATGATAAATTTTATTATGTAGCTTGAATTCATTTACACCTGGTTTCTTTTAAATTGCTTTTATTTTATAAATCTGATTCTTCCAGTATTTCACCATTGTCATATATTTTATTTATCATTTCAGTAATCTTATTGATCAGCAAATAATCTAAAGCTGACAGCATCTCTTACAATCCCAACCAGTCCTGCTGCTTTAGTGCAATTCATCTTCACCAATGTTGATCTTACTTCAGATTTTAATACAACAGATATTTCCAGGTCTTTATGTATTACAGATTTTACTCCTATAATATTATAGAAAAAATCTCACATATTCATTCTTTGTATTATTTTTTTTTCTTATCAATTATGAGGATTCCCTTTTTAGCCTTTATACATCCTGTCAAAGAGCAAGTTTTTGTTTAACTTTCTATGCATGCCTTTACTCTCAATGATGCTCTTTGCCTTTAAGGTCTATTAGAATTCAAGCTCAATCCAGACCTCAAGTTGAACTCATGTGTGTGTGTATGTATATATATATATATATATATATATATATATCAGAGATTAAAACAAAAACATGTTAAAGATTGCAACACAATAGCAACTGTGTTTCAACACTACAAATGTGTCTCCTCAGGTGATGGTAAATTACTGGTGAGTGAATGATTAATTTCAAAAGCAGACTGCTTCCTCTTTTCTTTTGAAAGAGAAAGAGAAGACAAAAAAAAGAATTAAAATGAGGCTTGTGGGTTTATCATGATTAACCAATCAAATATGAGACTTATGCTAAAATCTAGACCAACTGAAAAAAGTTTATATATGTCATGACATGAAGTTGTCTACATAGAATTCAGAGCAAAAATGAAGTATTGCAGCCACATCTGGTCTGAAGCTCCCCAATCCTCACTCTTCATCCTTGAAAAAGTTCAAAATCATTTACACAGCCTTGTGAATGATGAATTGGTTTCTACCCTACAACCCCTTTCCCCACAAACAAAAACGTTTCTAGCCTCTCACTACTCTATCACTCTTTTCATGTTAGATGTTCAGATTAACCACAGTTTGAACCCACCTTGCCATGTATGCAAGACTGACTTATCCTCATTCCCTTCATATTCCATTGGTAAGGACACAGTTCCCAAGAACTGTTACTTTGTGGAACAGAATCCTGAGAGGATTCTTCCTCAATCACTACAATTTTAAGCACTTCATGTCTATGGTCATTCATTTTCTATCCTATATATGTACTTACTGACTCCGTTGATGCCCTTGCAACAACCTCATTCAGTATCCCTCTTCCTTGAGTGACTCTTGTAATGAGTGAGCAATAATAAAAAACGTATGGATATATATATATATATATATATATATATATATATATATTTTGATATGTGTCTGCATCATTCATTTTCTGCTTCTTTACCTCAATTTCTAATGAATTTCTTTAACATCCTAGATTCTCTATCATTCCATGACAAAAATGGCACATCATAGCACAGTTTGTTTTAAAGCAATTTCCAGTTTAAGATATTTAGTTATGCACAAATTGACAAAGCTATAATCTATTCAAGGGGGATAACTCCAGGTCTCTGCTACTTACAGTCATTTTCCTTGAGCTGTCTACCCTTGCCACCATCAGCATGCCAGTGATGATGCTGATGGTTATATAATAATGAAACAGGTGATAATTAGCATTAGATTATCACATTTCAATTTGTCATCACAAAAAAGTTTGCCTTTCAGAGTAAGAATATATTAACTGACACAAAGTGTTTATCTATAAAGTTGAGCACACACACTATATATATATATATATATATATATATATATTTTTTTTTGAACAATAAGAAAATAAAAAATTAAAAAATTAAAATCTTTGGACACACTGGGTTGTAGATTAATATTCTTTCGTTTTTTTTATTATTATTATTCCATTTAGATTCCTCGACTAGTTTTGACCGAAATGGCCATCATCGGGAGGAGAAATATTTCTGCTTGCTGGTAGCAGTGAACTACAGAAATGAATATATATATATATATATATATATATATATATATATATATATATATTTAAATAAAAAGGATGCACGGGGTAGTAGTGGATAGCAGCTCGGATTGAGGAATCGGAGAGCCAAGTTCAAATTCCAGTAGATTCTACTGGAATTCAAACTTGGCTCTCTGATTCAGCCCTTCAAAAAACATGGTTTTTCACCACTATAATCAAATCATATATGCTGGTGTCTGGGCTGTTGATTCTTAGGAACTGAGCTGCTTGACCATCATACATCGAATTTGACAGGAGAGTCCACCATATATATAATAATAATAATGTGGAAATAACCACTCTTTGGTTTATGAAGGTCGCAAAAATATGGAAAATAAAGTATAATATATATTGTAAAAAATCCACATTAAAACCAAAAACATTTGCAGCTTCTCTCTTCTCTTTCAAATATACACTTTTCTCTTGTTGAAACAATTATAACATTTCCCATATATATTTGTGCATTTAGGCAGCAAATTCTCTTTTAGGCATGTCTGATTGAATAAATTACAAACATTATGTCTGCTTATCATAATTACTTCATATTCATGAATATTTTTCCATATATTACAATTGAATAAGGCAAGAAATGCACTGTAACAGTGAGAATAAAAATAAACATTACATAATATATGGAAAAATATTCATGAATGTGAAAGGATTATGATAAAAATAAGCAGACATAATGTTTGTAATTTATTCAATCAGACATATCAGAGAGACATTATCTGAAGCAACTCAAGTGATTTCATCATTACTGCTTCAGATCAATTCTAGTTATCCACTGGATAACCGACAGTCCAGACAAAAAAAGTCTTGGAGAAAGTGAATACAATCAGCATCAAAGCACAAATTCACCGATATTAACTTTGTTGAATGGCTCACATCATACGGCTTGATGATGACCGCATTCTTGAAAAGCTGCTGTCTCGGTTGGTTCCTGGCCACAGCATAAATCTTAGAAATAGCAAGTCACCTGGCATTTAGTGGAGTCTACCTAAGGCAGCATTGAAGCGAGTACTTTTAATAAAATCTTTATAAAAAGATGAATTTTATAACAGCAAACTATAACATGCATTAAAAAGTTCTCTTAAAAATGGTTAGCCCCCATTAAAATGCCAAAATATATTTAAGTGTTTAAGCTTATGTATTATTAAATAATAATAAAAGAATTTTACAATTTTCATTAACTCAGTATTTAGAGCTCAGTTATCATTTGAAAGTACTTGAAACCCAAATAGCCTTCCCTCTTTAAGCAGGGGTGGTTGTTAGGTCTTAATGTTATCTCTTTATGATTAGTATTGTTTATCACCTATTGTATATTTTATTTCTTCTGCATACATTTACAATCTTTTCTTTATTGACTTCTAAAAAGATTCTTTTTTTGTAGTTTCACAATTTTTACTGCTTCCTAAATAAACATGACATTTCATAAAATCATCATTGCCATTGAAAGAGAATTATATTTTTAATTAATTTTAAAATATTTATATAAATGGACCCTGCAAAGTGGGTAGTACAGCTAGTCTATAATAACCTAGACAATAAAACATTAATATAACATCAGTAGATGTCAAAAAAATATTTTGAAATCTGAAAAAAACATTATTTAATGATTACCTTAAGTAATTTTTTTTAATCTTTTATGCATTTCGCAAAGAGTTACAAAAACTGAAGATGTGAGCAGTCAAAAATTCTTTGATTTTATCTAACAGAAGAAAAAATATATTCTAACCTGATCAATATTTTCCCTGTTTTTTGCACTCGTCTCAAAGAATTTCATGTTGTATCTATCTGCAAACTGAAAAAGAGATATATATAAATATATATATATATAAATGTTTTTTTGTTTGGTAAAATAAATATGTTTGGTAGACAACCAAAAATAGTATGCAGACAAGAAAATGGAAAATAAAAGAAGAAAAAAAGTTTTAAAAAATAAAGAAGTGGTTTGATTATCAGACAGACAGGACAATCCTGAAAAGAAAGAGGGGAACACTTTTTTTATTTTAGAATTGTGATCATCTCTGAATCAATCTACTTAGATATTAAATTTAAATAGTATTTGAAAACTGAGCTTCTATAAATTTTCTAAACTTTGATTTTTTTTTCTTAATAATAAGACTTTTAAAATTTTATTTCAGAAAATAAATGTCTTTGAAGTAAATTATTAACAGAGGAAAAGTGGACTGTCTAGTGTAGGTATCTGAATGGATAAGGAAATAAAAAAAAAAAAGTAATATGTATGTATGTATGTGTGTGTGTGTGTGTGTATATATATATATATATATATATATATATATATATGATGGCTGTGATTCAATTTCAAGTAATGTCATCACTTGACTCATCCTCATATAGAGCCAGTGCAGATGTCGCTTTTTAGTCCTGCTAGAGTCTTACATTGTCGTGCACAAATGTGGCAATGTTTGGCATCTTTTGCAGAAGTTGTTTCATAAATACTGCATATATGAATTACACTCTCTCTCTCTCTCTGTGGCACCTTTGATGATTTTTTTAGGTCTTCTGTAATTATACATGACCACATTCATTAAACGTTAGATCAAATTCTCTGATAATATTTTCAGTAAAATTATAAACATCTCAAGTTGTTCACGTGCAACATGATGTTGTTCACACAGCTTTCTTCTAAGATGGACAATCTAGAGTCAGGTTTTCCCAGTCATTTTGGATGATGTATATATGATCGATAGTGAGGATGCTCATCATGAAGTAATAAACCAAAGATATTTAATTAAAAACAAAAAAGAAAGAAAGACTATGGTAAGGAAACAGCCAAACAGATGAGAGGGAGGTTGAAAAATAATAGACAGAGATACAAGGATAGGAAACTTTGGAGCCAAATAATGATTGATTACCTCTATATATGGGTTAAACATAACTCTCTAGCCATGAATAGCAACCAGTCTAGCAGAAGGTCTAAACCATAGGGGACAACTGGAAACCACTCCAGTATCTTCACCAAAAATAATAAAGTTTATCGAGGGTTGAATCACCTACATTCTAATGGAACAGGCTTAGTAAAGAAAAATGATTTCCAAATGAGTTTTATATATATATATTATATGATTTAAATTTGGTTTATGGTATATAATGGGTTATTTAATGCAGACAAAATTTTTATAGCTGGTAATATTTTTTTTTTCAGAAATGTATTGCCGGAAATATTTTTTTTTTCCTTCAAAAATCTATTGCTGGTAATATTTTTTTTCAAAAATGTATTGCTGGTAGTTTTTTTTTTTTTTTTTTTACAAAGTATTTCTGGTATTAAAATCTATTTTTACACTTTCATAATGTTTTGACCCCAGTTTGAGGGTTAACTATTTGCCCATAGCTGGGACCCTAACAGGTGCTACTACCGTGGGTCAGGGTGGACCTGGGAACATCAGCAATTAAGTGGTGGTTCCACGCTCCTCAAAAACTCCTGATCAGAAGCCTTGCTGCTGGACGTAGTTTATCGACATACCCAAGACAGTTTAAATTTAGATTAAAATTTAATGGAATTTGAAATATGACAATTTGTTGCAATGTTTTATCAATCCCACAGCATCATCAGAAAAAAAAACACACAAACAAGTCAGCACATTTTTCTTTTTTGATAATGACTAAAGCAAGTGAAAAGCTTCAGACCTAAACAAAACAACACAAACTATGAACTATTCCTTTACACATTCAACACCAAGAGACAGAATCTAATCATGGCTATTTAGTTTGGTTTGGTTTACAGCATATCAGCCTCAATGGCTTATTTAATGCTAACAAAATTTTTATTGCTGGTAATATTTTTTTTTCCAAAAATGTATTGCTGGTAATAATTTTTCCCAAAAAGTATTGCTGGTATTAAAACCTATTTTTATACTTTCATAGTGTTTTGACCCCTTTTGGTGGGGGTTATCTATTTGCCCATAGCTGGGGCCCCGACAGGTGCTACCACCCAGGGTCAGAGTGGACCTGAGAACACCAGCAAATAAGAGGTGGTTCCACACTCCTCAAAGTCTTCTGATCAAAGGCCTTGCTATCAGATGTACTTTATCATCTTACGCAGGACGCAGATTAGCCTATTTGTGACTTGTATAAAATTTAGACAAGAAAATATAAATATTTGGTTCAATAATATTATTTAAAGAATTCAAAATCAGATTTTTTAAAAATATCTTTCATTATATTAGATTAAAACATATATATTTAATGAACTGTTGAAAGGTGAGATAATTAAACATGTTCTCTATTTACATTATTCGGGCTATTGTCCTCATCTTTGTTGCCATATTTATTACAACGTTTCAGTCGTTGTACACTCCAGACTTCTTCAGGTGGTTGGAATGTCGAACTGAACCCTTTATTTTACTCATTGTGGTAGACTGTTCTAGTTCCACATGCCATGCTTAATGTGGCATGTTATCTCCTGTTAATTCCCACAGTGGATAAAGGCGTTGGTTAGATCCAATGACAGGACCCAAAGAGTGTGAGTTCAATACCCAATTAAGGCAGTGGAGAACTTTCAGAGGGGAATTAACAGGAGATAACTGATAATTGACATCCATTAAACATGGCACATGGAACTAGAAAAGTCTACCCCAGTGAGCAAAATAAAAGGTTCAGTTCAACATTCCAACCACCTGAAGAAGGCCAGAGCATACAATAGTCCATATAATGTAAATAGTGTACATAATACCTCATCTCAGAAATATAGACAGATACTAAACATGTTCTTTTAAAAATTCCAAATTTGAACCAGAACTGGTGCTTTGTCATAAATTGTTTGTGGGGGAAAACTGAAATAAAAATCAATAAAATAATAATAATAATAATAATGAATAAAATAAAATAAATACATTTTCCCATGATGCTAGTAATAAAGAAACTGAACGAGAGGTAGACCAACCCCACTTACCCACTTCACCCTGGTACTACCAATAAATAGTGAACGATTAAGGTGTATGTGTGTGTGGCGGGGATCTTTACACCACCACCTACCCCTCACTCACCCATTCCATGTCAAGTCAGAGTGCTTGGCTAAGGAAAGGAGAGACCAGAGAGTAGCCATAATTTTTTTTCTCCAAATATCATTGATAATAATTTTGTCTGTCATGTCCATAAAAAGAAATTTAATGATTGGGAGGAAGCATTTGTAGAACCCGTATGTACCTTGCCTTGTGCCATCTTGTTGTTGTAGATGATTAAATGAGTTTTTTTTTTTGTTTGTTGGTTTAGACTCTGATGTTTTCACCCATCCTTCATTTTTGTCATTTGTATTGTAGGATACTAAGATTAATAGAAAACAATTAACATGAGTGCTACAAAATAAAGAAATTTTTATTTCCGTTTCTTATATCACCTGGCATACCCAAGCGTTCATCCATCTAGGTACGGACCAGAACCGATGTTCTTTAAATTTGGTGATCATACAAGAACCAGTGTTTCAATATGATATGGCTCTAAGTCCTGCTTAGTTCAGTGGAAGAAGTGGACAAGCAAAAACAAAGGTGAATAAGATTGGTAATTATTAGCTGATATATCTGGTCTAAGCATGAACAAAAAGAAAACATACTACCCCCAGGAAGTGAATAAAGTGTACAATTGAAAATTCTGGGAAGTTTTACTATGATAAAAAAAAACCTTAACCACTAAAATGGTTGAAATAGACAAGAAACAATAAGTACATATTTACTAAAAAAAGATTTTTTTTAAGTCTTCAATAAATCACATACCTTTTTTCCTTCTTCACATGACACTTGCCTCCACTGGGAACGATCACTTTTATTTGCTACCAACAGCAGTTCAGTATCTTCGTTTGCAAACTGAAGAGTAATTTAGTGAAATTTAAAAATTCATTAGTCAAAGTCATCTTTTTTTTTTTAAACATATTACTTTTATAGATTAGATGGAAATATATCAAAATTAATTGGAAGTTTACACTTTTATTCTGCTGCCATCGAATATGTAAACATGTTTTTTTCCTGTTACATACTTTGTTTGGATATTTCAGATAAGTTATTTTATCTGATACAGGACTCAGTGCAAAGACACCAAATTCTGGAGACTGTTGTAATAAAAGACAAGCAGCCAACATTAAATAAGGTATCTTTCTCCATAATGGAACATATATTGAATGGTACTTAATATAATAAATGGTGATTAAATGATTTTTAAGGACATTTAAAAACAAAGTATTACCTCTTTTTCAAAAGTTAATGGTAGGGAGGACTTAAGGTCAGAATTAAAAATAGACTTGTGGGTATGTCTTGATTAACCAATTAAATGTCAGATCAACACTAAATAGAAAAGTAAGCTCAGAGGGTGGAGGTGGGGGAGTTATTTTTTTCATGTCATGATAAACTGGAACATCCTTTAATAATCTTTCTTGTTTCATGGTTAAAGACAGCAAAAAAGGTACTGTGGTTACTTTTATTGGATTCAGTGTTTTCCTTCTCTGAGACTGGTTGCCAACCAATGCTCTAGGGTCCAGCCTGCCCTTCTATTTACATGTAGCTGATGGGAGAAGGATTTTTACACATAAGTGAATGCAATGAACTCGACTGGAATTTGAACACAGCTCTCTGATTTCTCATTCTGAGCCACTATCCATTACACCCCCCCACACACATTCAAACTTACAGTACCTAGTATTCCCAAATGGTCACCAATCTAGGTACTGACCAGACTCAACATTGCTTAACTTTGGTGATCAGACAAGAACTGGTTTCAACATGATATTGCAGTAAGCTTCATTCACTGGTATTATATAGCAGTTCCGCTCACTATTCTTTATTTCTAATGAAATTTTCCTGTTTCTTAATACTTTGTTTAGTTTTTAAAAGGCATCTTCCACTATTCCAATATACATTGTAGGCAAGTACATTTCTTTTCAGCAAATTTTACAAGAAATACAGATTTGTGTAACTTTTCTTATTTTGTTAAAATACAAAGAGAGTCAAAAGTTGGAAACAAAATTCTAGAAAATGAGGTTAAATATTTTGCAAGCTGTTAATTTTTTTAGTTATTTTTGATTTTCTTTTGAAGTTTACTACTGTGAGTTTGGAAGGTGATGGAATCAGCACCGAATTGAACCATGAATTATGTGTTAATGAATCGACACATTGCAGCCATGAAGCATTACTACAAATGTAAATCAGTCAATACTGTCAGCCCTAAAAACAGAAATCAAGCACTAATTTTGACTCATCCTGTATATGGATTAATGAGCAACACCTGATTTGTACTAAACAAGTAACTAGTTTTGCACACTTTGATTCTTTGCTTTACCATAGAGCCATACAAGCAAGTGTAACAAAGGAGCAGATAACGAGTTTTAAATCACTGACTTTTTCAGGACTTGGATGATCATGTCTCTCCACAACTTATTATCCTTTGAAGCTCTTAGCAATGTTTATCTTTTTACTCTCCCTCCCAATCCCTGTTTTGCCACTTATTTATATAATGGTCCTTTTTGCTTCTATTTTCTTCAGATTTTCCTCATTGCTCAGCATCCTTCTGTAGAAAATCATCTCCATTGCCTCAAGTTTCTTCTTTATCTGTGAGGAAAGTGTCCAACATTCCCAGTAATAAAGGAGGGGTTTTATTCTATTACAAAGCAGTTCAGTCCTCTTTTCTTTATTTCTAATGGAATTTTGCTGTTTCTTAATACATACTTTGTTTAGTTTTTAAAAGGCATCTTCCACTATTCCAATGGACCTTTAGATTTCAGTGTCACATTATCCATCATCTGTTAAAACACTTCCCACATACTTAAATTTCTGTACATGTGTGATTTTCAGACCCAAAGAGGCCGAAAATAGAATAATGGGGATTCCCCAATATCTAAATAACATCTCTGGAAAGTAAGCAATAAACACAACAGTATGACAAGGACAAAGTGTCAAGTTCAAAATGGTTGACACTTAACAGGTGGGAAAACTGAAATCATTGGTAGCCAGGCTATAAAATGGAATTGTATATATGTTGGTTAGTTAGAAATGAATGAAAGATCAAAAAACATTGATATGATAACAATTTTGATTGATTCATTCCTTTTCTATGGCTTTTGCAGGTTATTTAAAGCTAGAAAATATTTTTAGAGTGTAAGAATTTTTTCTTTATTTTTGGAGATAATGGTTGGACGTGGGGGAGAAGTGAATTCATACCTTTTCCAAGGGCATTTGTGTGTAAGTGAATACAATGAACCTAACTGGAATTGGAACTCAGCTCTCTGATTAGAAATTCCAAGCCATTATCCATTACTCCAACTGCACATACAAGCTTACAGAATTTGGTATTCTCAAGCAGTCACTCATCTCGGTATTGACCAGGCTCAACATTGCTTAACTTCAGTGATGATATGAGAACCAGTGGTCATGACTCAACAGCCCCACCAGTGAGGAAAATAATTTAGAAGGTTTTATTTCAGGGTAAGTGTTGTGGTGTGCTCCCTCTAATGAGGCTATTGTGGACTCTTCCACTTACTATAAAGTAGTAGGAATGTAAACCTGCGGGTGGGGAGGGGGAACAGTGATATAAACTGAACGCTAGTCAACCGACACACACTCCTGCAACCCACTTCTGTTGTATTTACTGTTCAATACACTATTCATCTGCAACCTCTTGTTTTGTTATTTCTTAACCATTAACTTGGTCACAACAGTAAGCAAAAGTTATTAAGAGTTATAAAAAGTGGTTACCATCAAACTCTATACAACAATTATAATTCCCTAAAAGAATTGTGTTGGATACGTAACTTATTGAAAAGATGCAGTATTAGACATAATGTACAGCACTTAACTGTGTAAATACAAATAAGAGATTTATTTGCAAAATGACATGCAAGTATTTTCAAACTTTCCTTTTTGCCGACTGACAGAAAATAAAAATGAAGACATGGAATAAATAAAGGAATATACAACAATGTAACATACATTTATTAAGTGAAAGGACAAATAAAAAGATTCCTAAATTAATTAAATTAAAAAGGCAAGCAATTAAATTTCATGCAAACATGTTCCTTTCGAAATTATAAACGTCAATGTTCATAGTCATGGTTCAACCTTCAGGTTTTCTTTTGAATAAAAAAAATACAATGCAAATACTCAACAAGTTCAAACACTGAAAATGTAATTATTCAAAAATATCATTGCAAATGTAATCAACAACACAGTTCTGCAAGTAATGTTTATGTTCTTTGAAAGAATTTTACATACGTCTAATGTTTGTGGGTGAATGTATCTAACAAAATGAAAATGTGAAAAGGTCCGACTCAAAAGTTCAATTCTATTCATAGAACAACTTGTAGATATAGAAAAAAAAAAAAAAATATTCATGAAACGTTTCAGCAGAAAAGAAAACAAAAATTGTTTATTTATTTTTGTTTTTGGTTGTATAAATCAATTATGTGACCTAAACACTTGATATTTAAAAGAAACATGGCCAGCCAGTAAAACTCACCGAAGTGTGAATTTCAAAGTTTATAGTTGAGTTGAGCTAGAGACAAAAAAAAAGTACCAAAAAAAAAAAAAAAAAATATATATAATGAAAAGTCTGATTGACATGAAATTGTTTTAATGTAGGACCCACATACATATGGACCAAGGACAAAACAGCCCACTCCCTGAAACCATTGCCACACAGGTATGCATCAACGTTTGCACTTTAGTACATTGAGAGAGGTGATGTTATCAAGTTGGAATCTCTGTATACAGGCTTCCCTCTTTACAAAATGGCAAACTGTCCAAAGGCAGAAATATGACAAGAACATACTATACTCTGATGGTATTTACCAAAACCAGTGGTACAATGTCGCACAAGATCAGTAACATCAGGTACTCATACATGTATATATAAGCAAAAGATAGCTAATATTGCCATTACCAATGAGCATTTAGGGATTTTAATTAAAACGGACATTATTACAGTTGAAAATTCTTTGGGTCAGTACGATTTACACCCAAGTATTACAAAATACACTTTTAGCTTTTATATGCCTTAAGCTTTTTAATTCTTTCCACTAAATACAGTTCAGTTACAGCTCAAGTAGAGCTCTTCTATAAATATATCTACATAAAGAAAAGTTCTTTGATTGTTAGCAAAAGCTTAATGAGTGAAGAACTTTAGGCAATTGTAAGCTGCCAGACAAAAAATCAAGAAATGAAGCCAAAAGTAAAAGCATTACAAGTTCTTTGACACTTAACCATGATTTACCTATTAATATTATATATATATATATATATATATATATATATATATATATATTAGCTGAACTAGAAATATAGCTAAGTATACATGTATATTTTTACACACATATTCTCAGGCATATAACACAGAAAATATATGTATGTTGCACATTCTTTTTACTCTCATTATGGATATGTGTGCATAGAGTGAAAGAGAAATAAGGAGAGAGTCTGTGTGTGTATATATATATATATATATATATATATATATATATATACACACACACACATACATACACACTCAATAAAAAAAAAACAAATTAACTATTAGTCAAAAAACATTTATATGGATAAAAATTTCTCAATGTATATTCAAACAGCTAAAAAAATTATCAATTTCAGACATTCAAATTTTTACAGGAAAACCAACTTTTCCACTACTGCAGTTTGGCCACCGAGATAGAAAGCCTAACTTATTGCCTGAAGATAGCAGACATTTTTAAACTGTAGCAGCAGAAAAGGTTGGTTTTTCTATTACATTTTATGTCTCATATATATATTTATTTATGCATCTCTGATTGAATAAGTTACAAACATTATGTTTGCTCTTGATCATAATCTTTTCATATTCACAAATATTTTTTCCGTATATTACAATTGAATAAGGCAAGAAATGCACTGTGACAGTGAGAATCACTTATTTCCCAATTAATTTCCATCTCTTTCTGAGATCATCATCAGGGGTGCAGTTGGTAAGGCAAAACTATGTTTATCTGCCCATTACTAATTTTTTCTTTTGCATTTGAATGCTATGACTGACTTGGAAATAGAAGTGATTTCCACTAATACAGTGCATTTCTGGCCTCATTTAATTGCAATATACAGAAAAAATATTTATGAAAAGATTATGATCAAAAGTAGACATAATGTTTGTAACTTATTCAATCAAACATGCCTAAATATATATATATATAGAGAGAGAGAGAGAGAGAGTGAGAGAGACATAAAATGTAACTAGAAATGAAAAAATATTTGTGAATATGAAAGGATTGCAATCAAAATAAGCAGACATAATGTTTGTAACTTATTTAATTAGACATGCCTAAAAGATAATTTACTGCCTAAACACACCCACACATTTTATAGATATATATAAGTGAAAGTTTGTCACTTAGCTGAGGGATGTTACTTCAGCATCAGAACTCCAGAGTTTTGTAGACTGACCCTCTAGGAATCACGCTGTCCACTCCTCAGTTGAGTGTTTATACGTTTTGTTTTTTCTTTTTTTATATGCACTTTTCATTGGTTCAAGTTAAAATATATATATATATATATATATATATATATGCATTAACATTCCAACCATAAGACCTGGATTTGAATATCAGTGCATTATGACATTTGTGTTCTCATGGTGATGATTTAATGTTGTGTGTTAAGACTTGTTTATTTTAATATTGTTGCCTATAATATTATAATTAATTATTTATAATTTATATCATTCCAATTTTAAAGTTCAAAAGACAAAGATTTAAAAATAAAAATTAAAA